TGAGAATTTGTTCTTTTTCATCATCACAATATCGAACGAAAATAATTTTTCATATTTTATTCATTATTTCTTTGCCATAACGAATAAACGTATCGAATGAATTCGATTTATTCTGATTACGTGAGTAGGGACTGATTTCGTTATTTCTTATTCATGAATGAATGATAATTCAAGAATAATCCAGATTTTTTATTCATTATTCGATGTAACTTTCATCTAACAGCTTTCTATTATACCGACGTTATACTGACGTTATACCGACATTATACCGACGCGGTATCGATACATTTGTTCACGACGACGATCAGCCGTCACACTCGAAGCTTTTGCTTTCGCTTTCGCGCGCCCGGTCTATGCGCGCTCTCATTGGTCAGTGTTTTTTGCTAATAACTCAAAAATGGAGCCTCAACCAATATTTTGGCAAAGGAAAAAGTTGTTCAGAATCGCCCCACCTACCACCCCTTTTCGGGACCTCCACTAATTGCGGGACACCCTGTATATATGTTCTGTCCTCTTTTCACTAAACTGTTCGGTCGACCGTGAAAATTTATGACTTCTTCGGTTTCGCGGACCTCTCACTCTTTCTCGGATCTCTCACTCAGCGGCCGACTTCAAACAAAAAAGAGGGGATAGAAATTTGCTTGTTACGAATCACAAAACTGTTGCTTGTTACGAATCAGTACTGTATATGGCGAATCACCCATGGTGTACAAGAGCGAACCACCTGGCTTTTACTAAAGCATCTCCGTTAGTTTTAGTTACACAAATAAATGTATGAAGGAAATGGTGTTTACTTCAATGCTTTAATCTTCATCACTTTTGCATTAGGTCCAGATGTTTTCAGTGGCGTAGACTTTGAAGGGACATTTTTTGTTGATGACGATGGCGACGATGACTCAGTTGGTTTCGTCTTTTCATATCAAGATAATCATAAGTTCTACATTGTGTCTTGGAAGAAGGAACAACAACCATACTGGATGCCCACTCCGTTCAGAGCAGTAGGAGATTCAGGAATTTTTTTAAAACTTGTTGATTCGATCACTGGTCCTGGAGAAGTTTTGAGGAATAGCCTTTGGCACAATGAGGATGTTCCTAATGAGGTGAAGATTCTTTGGCATGATCTGAAAAAAATTGGCTGGAAAGAGAGGACTCCATACAGGTGGCAATTGTTACATAGACCAAGAATTGGACTAATTAGATTTCGACTTTACCAAGGCAAACAAATAATGGCCGATTCTGGGAATGTCTACGATTCAACTTTGAAGGGTGGAAAACTTGGTGTTTATTGTTTTTCACAAGAAAAGATCACTTGGTCCAATTTACTATATATGTGCAAAGGTGAGAATAAAAATTGACGCTTACACATAAACCATTCATTAGTATATTATGGGCAACAATTTAGAGCAAATTTGTTGTAAGTCGTTCTTTCACTTGTTTAATGTATTCACTCGACAGCAGAATATGATATGTACATTTGGTGATATGTACATCCATACGAATAATTTATATAAATGAGAAACGTTTCAAATCGATTAGGAAATGAACATCGCAATTTAATACCTTATTCATAATCAGTATTCATAACTGGATCTCTTCCTACACATTATATCTTTATATGCTTACATAATATTTCTACATTTCTTTTTAAAAGTTTTATTTACATTTCTACGACTTTTAAGAGGAACCTTAATTAATTTAACTCTATTGCAATAAAATATTTTAAGTTATTTTTGCACAAGTTATTAAGTAATGTTTTAAGATGCTTCTAATGCAGTAAAAAACCACCATGTAGAAAGTGTGAACGTGGTTGCAATATAATATAATATAAAAGTTGTTCTTACGTTAGTAGGAACGTAAATGTGTTCAAAAGAATTTAAAAAGCAAAAGTCCATAATTATTAAACAATGCGAACGGATAAATCATGAGTTGGAAACACGTTTATATGCGATTAATTTGTTTTAAGGGGTAATACCACTGTAGAGCCCGAATAAAATAATTTTCAGAAAAAAAATACACCGACTTCGAAATGCACTAAAAAGTATAAAATAATTTCTATTTCCTAATGAAGTAATTTATATTTCATTCAATTATACAATTACGTAACAGAAATGAATGAAACCTATTTACTCGTTAGGTAGTATATTAAATACATTTCAACCTTTTCGGAAGCGGCGCAAAATTAAAAGATTTTCTTGAACATGTCAACCTTCGGACAGCCGAACATAGGCAAAGCTTGTATAGCTATTTCTTTTCTATACATATAACTCGACAGCACGCCGCGAAGTAGGTGTTAGTGTGTATAGAATGTAACTATGGTCTATCTCAGTGCTCGGATTTAGTTGCACTTTTCGGGCCGATTTCGGAGTAGACGCCTTCCGTGTCGCTACTTCCGCGCTAGACTGCCCACGTGACGCTGTGTACCCGGGACGTCGTACGATAGATTTGTCGGGATCCATCGGTGATTAAAAATTTTACTTGCATTGTTAATAATTATTATTTTTACAGATTATTAAAGTTATTAATACTATGTTTACATCTATAAACATCTATATATACATCTATATATACATATAATAACAATAATACATGTTATAATAATTACAATTTTGTCAATAGTTTTCCATATCACCCAAGAGGTACTATGGTTGATGCGTTTTTTTAAAGTGGTTTCTCCTATAGGCCTATTCCACTAAATAAGAAGAACGCAGTGACTTAGCAGAAAAGCCGAAATCGAAAATATTTTAATTTTCCTTCGATCTTCTGGGTCGTTTGGTCTTTCCTGTCGAGTCACTGTCGTTTTTCTTATTCAGTGGAATAGGCCTATAGGAAAAACCAATTTAAAAAAATGCATCAAGTAGTACCTCTTGGGTGGTATGGAAAACTATTGACAAAATTGTAATTATTA